CCCATTCCCATTCCATTCCCATTCCCATTCCCATCCCATTCCCATTCCCATTCCCATTCCCATTCCCATTCCCATTCCCATTCCCTCTCATTCTCTCTCTCTCCTCCAGGGGGCGCCCCGGGGCCATGCCGTGCTCTGAGCTGTCCTCGGCGGTGCCTGAGCGCAGCGCGTTGCGGCGGGGGCGGGGCGGGGCTCAGGCGCTCGGCCGGGCAGCCCGCGCGGCGCAGGGCCCCGGGTCCTGCGTGTGGCGGCGGCGCTCGGCCCGGCCCGGCTCGGCCCGAGATGGCGACCAAGAACTTCCGCGTGAGCGACGGCGACTGGATCTGCCCCGACAAGAAGTGAGGGCAGCGGCAGCGGGGCGGGGAACGGAGCCCCGAGGCACCGGGGGAGTGAACGGGGGCGAGGCGGGGACGTGAGCGGGAACGGGAACGGGACAGGGAGCGCGGGGGGTGGCACGGCCCGGGCCCGGCACGGGCTCACACAGCTCGCTGCTGGCCCGGGACACACTCGGGTTATATTGGGACACACTCGGGTTACACTGGGACACACTCGGGGTACACTGGGACACACTCGGGATACACTGGGACACACTTGGGTTATATTGGGACTCTCGGGGGTAATGCGGAGCTCTGGAGCCCTGCTCGGGGCCGTTCCCAGCCCCGGTTAATCGCGTCCCTCGTGCTCTGCTCCGCTCCAGGTGCGGGAACGTGAACTTCGCCAGGAGAACGAGCTGTAACAGATGCGGCAGAGGTGAGTTCCAACCCCGCARACCTTTCCACTCATCCCCTTCTCCCCCATAAAACAGCTTCTAAAATTCCTCTGTAATTCAAAATTTATTAAAAATACCACCAATTTTTGTTTAAAAAACTCTTAAATATTTCTCGTGAGTCACGAGGCTGCTGTTTGAGCTCTTGTTTCTCATCTTTGCTCTTGTTTCTTTGCTCTTGTTTCTCGTCTCTGCAGAGAAAACGACGGAGGCCAAGATGATGAAGGCGGGGGGGACGGAGATCGGGAAGACGCTGGCGGAGAAGAGCCGGGGGCTGTTCAGTGCCAACGACTGGCAGTGCAAAACGTAGGCTGCAAACACCTCCTGCCTTTCCCTGGAAACTCCCTGGGAGGGCTCAGAGCCACAGCAATTCATTAATTCATGGGGCACTTAATTAATAGAGCAGCAGGAAGGGTTTAAGTAGCAGCGCTGCCCAAGGAAAAGTCAAGTTTGTGTTTGGTGAATGAAGATAATTCCTGTGTTTGGAGGGGATGGGGAGATGGCAGTGCCACCCCCATGGCATTGAGAGGTTCTGCCTTCCCTGGAGGGTGAGGAGATCCTGGCACAGTTGTGACTGCCCCTGGATCCCTGGCAGGACATTGGGGACATTGGGAGCTGTCCCTGCCATGGCAGGGGTGGCACTGCATGAGCTTAAAGCTCCCTTCCAACCCAAACTTCTGRAATTCTATTAAATCCCCTAAGTTTTTAGCAAACAGATTTTAGCCCAGATTTCTGGAATTCCACTAAATTCCCCAAGCATTTAATGAGCAGATTTTTTAGCACACAGGTAAATGCCTGGATGCTTCTCCAAGCTCTCAGTTGAGAAAATGAAGCTTTAAACTGGAAAATGTCAGCAGGACTGAAATGCTTTGGTTATTTGAAGAGTGCTGTGAGAGAGAAGTGTCAGCAGGCATTGTCACTGTGCAGTGTATGGGGTGGAATGAGTCCARGGAARGGTYTGGAGCACCAATCTGTCATTCCATGAGCTTTATTGCCATGGCAACAATTTTGTTATCTTTTCTGAAATGTGGATGCCACACTGAGAAATTATGAGGAATGTGAACCCTTCCTGTGTCGTGCTCCTTCCCCTGGATTTGTCCCATCCTGTCACCTTCCAGGGAGCTGTCTCATCCCTTCACCCTTTTATTCCAATCTGAAGGATAATATTTCCCATTTCTGTGTGTTCTTTCTGCCCCTGAAGCTGTGGCAATGTGAACTGGGCACGGAGATCAGAGTGTAACATGTGCAACACCCCGAAATAYGCCAAGCTGGAGGAGAGGACAGGTGAGATGGGCTGGGTTTAGGCTGGGTTTAAACACTGGCAGTGAGAGCTGGAGAAACCAGAATGGACCTTGATTAAARGGAATGTGTTCTCACAGAACTGGCACAGCTCCTAAAAATTGCAGGTTCATGGCCTGGGTGAGTTCTGGTGCTGTGTGAAGTGATGGCTCCATGTGGAAATCATCAGGGAACATTCAGCTTGAGCTGCCCCTGTGCTGGATTTTGTTGTCACAACGTTGGAGCAATGTTTTATTAATGTGCAGAGGCCTCCTGTGGGGTGTCCATGTGCACAGGACGTGCAGATAAGGCTCTTATCTGCTGGGGAGGGCTCAGTTTCAGTTCTGGGTGTGAATGTGAGCCCGGAGGTAACTGGAGCAGGATCTCCTTACAGCTCCTGCACTCTTCCCTCTGCACTGGGATCCAGCAGGGAATTCACTGCAGGAATTTAATGCACTCAGTGGAACACAAAGGCACAGAAAAAGGCCTAGAGAGGATCACAGAGCTTGTCATTCAAAAGCAAAAACGATACTTTAGTATTGAATATTGTGAAAATWGTAGAGAATATTAAAGAGTATAATTTTATTTCATATAGTTGTCATTGSAAATAATATATTCAAGTATTTATGATTTACATAATTTATTGAGGTGCTTAATAATTAATCAAGTTGATAAATACTTTTAGTGGAAGGTGTCCCTGCTCATGGCAGGGGGTGGGATGAGGTGAGCTTTGAG